GCTTGGGATGCTCGGTACTGGATCGTCCTCATGGTCGACATTGGGGGGCTGCTACGACTTGTGGCTTGCTTTGCACAACTGCTGGTTGGGTTTTGGTACTGCCTTCCTTTGTGGCCCATGGCAGTCCAGCGCACAACTCCAAACATGCAATTTCATGTGTTTGCTCTTCAGGAAGCCGACGCACTGTTCGGTAAAGTGTGAGCACCAGCAGGCGTAAGCACAACAAACTCTTTTGCCTACAAAGACACCCTTCACCCACCGAAGGCTCCCCTTGCCCAAGTCTTTTGTGTTTGGCTATTTTGCTTGAACACACTCCCCAAAAGGCAGCAGTTCCCCCGAAAAATCATGACCTCGGACGATCCGAAAAGGAGTTGTTTTGCTAGTGTTCACGCGCAACCTAGCCATCGACCACGCAACATGCATAACAACCCGCGCAAACAAACGATGAGCACTGGACATTTCAGTTTCGTATTGTTCGCACAGGACGCTCGTCCAAGTTCGCACCCTTCTTGCAATTTGTTGGTTCCCCGTCTCACCTGCAGCCAACGACTGGGGCGAATAGCGGGGGCTTTGTCGCAAATGCATTGTATCATGGCCAATTCTTGTTTGAACCATTTTCGCCAACTGTTTGATCGCAGGCTCTTGGTCTGTTTGATCTGTGATTTCTTTCCAACCTAATCGCAACAACCAGTTTTCAAATGTTTTCACCGCGTAAGTGTCTTCAGCTTCTTGGAGGGAGCTACGGCCGCAAATGGCCAACGCGAATCCACATCAATGGCTGTCAGTACTGTGGTCAACGCACCTCTGTCCGCTCGCGTTGCCTCACCTACATCTGCAACATGTACATCCTCGCCTTTGTTGTTGAAGAACAGGAAATCTGCATAGATCAAGTGTTCTACCCTGTCATCGCGGACCCTCTTGTGTGGTTGTTCCCTTCCTTGACCTGCTACACCGTGAGCGCACCAGGGTGCAAAGGTGGCATGGTGCAAATTGTGTTCTGCACGTTCTGTTCCCGTAGGTGCGTGTGGAAGGGGCACTACATTAACCTTAGGTGTGTGCGCCTCATCTTCTGCCAAACATGAATCCTCAGCATGCATGTGTCCTACCTCCAACCACACATCTTCCAAACAATCTTCACCACCATCACCACGGAAAACCATGCAAGTCAACCGTCCAGTTTCCAAGTTTGACACATCAACAGGACACTCCTCACAATCCAAAGGTGTGAGCAGGTTTCTCCGCTGAACGCGATGCGCGCGAATCAAAAGAGGATGCTCTCGCCTCCATTCATCTGGGTGCATGGTTGTGCTGTCTGAGTTGGCAGCAATGCTGTTTTTTGCTTCTTGTCGCTTCAAAGTTTTCAAGTCACATCTTTTTGACCTGTATCCACCAACGTTTTCCAATTTTTGTCAAAAGGGTATTGCTTCCCGTTTGTGTGTTCCAGGAAACTGCCGCCATCTTTTGAGAACACGACGCTCTTCCAACTCTTGTCCAACAGTTCGTCGACTGTCAGAACATTTTCACTTGCATCAATCACTGTCACGCGCATTGCGCCACGCAAACCGTCACTCAACTCAACAGCCGGTGTTTGTTCCCCATACACTTTCAACTCTGCGCCTTGCACTGAATACAACTGCCTAGTTTTCGTGGTGTCAACTGGTACATCAAATTCACCAACAGTGGCACATGTCACACAAGCACCAGAATCAACCATGAACCAAACAAACTCATCGCTCTGGTAGGGACGCGCAGCTGAAATGGAATCTCACACTGTCATGATCATGTTGTGTTCATCTGTGTGATGCACATGTGTACTATCGAAACCTTGTTGTCGGTGCCCGGGCTTGATTCTGGTTCCTCACGGACCTCGCAGACCTTCCAATGGCATTCTGCGGCTATGTGTTCATACTTCTTCCAAATGTGACATTGTTTTCCTGCATGCGGGTTGGTGCTCCGTCCTTTGCTCCCGAACCTTTGCCTTTCCAATCCTCTCCTTTACCTGCCTGTTTGGCTTTCTCACCTTTGTTGCTACTCCCTCCCTTGAGGTTGCCTTGTTGCTGGCTTGAACCTTTCCAAGTCGGTGTCCACGATTGTTGGTTCCAAGACCCTTTTCCTGGATACCCTTCCTTTCTTGCCTTTGCCTCCCTTGCCTTTGTCATTGACTGCGCCTATGTCCACGGTGGCCACTCCTGAGTCCTCTTTGGGTCTTGCCGCATTTGTTACGCCGAATTGCCCTCGTTGAGGCCTGCGCCACAAGTTGCGCGCACTCAGGTACTGCTCTATGTACGTGCGGACTTTCATGTAGGAATCAAGTGAGTCAGCATGCATGAAAATGGACTGTTGAAGCTCTTTTGGTGCAACATGAACAAGAACCGACAACTTTATATTTTCGTCAATTTTCTTTTTGAATTGCCGTTCGAATTCGCGAATTTCAGATTCCCACTGATAAAACGCTTCACTCCATTTCGCAAGGTCTGTTGGGAAATTTGGGTTTGTCAAGTGCTTGCGCCACACCCAGGCTTTCGACTTGTGAGCGGGTTCATTTGTTTTCACCAACCTACGCCACATTTCCATCCATTTCCTTCAGGCGCATGCTGCGCCATTCCCATGACACAATCAGGCGCATAACCCATCAGAATGGTCAACAAGGCTCGGCTCAATCGCACTTCACTGTCGGACAGTTCGTCGTGCTCTATCGGTGTTGCTGACTGCTCTGCTTTTTCCAACAGTGCGGAATACCCAGTATTCACAGTGGAAACCCACGCAAGGAAAATGTACTTCCACCGCTCCCAACTTTCACGTTTACCATCAAACAACGGTGGTTTGTGGATGTTTCTGGGGTCTACCTAACGTGAATCTCCTATGCTTGTTGCGGCTTGTGAACTCGCAGTTGCTTCGGCTCTTACCCTGCCCGACTCATTGCGTGTCTCTGTCAAGGCTACACTTTGCTGTTCAAACGCCGTTTGTGCTCTTTGCAAGGCAGCATCCAGCGTTGTTTGTTGTGATCTCCACTGTTCGATCTGGGTTTTCAATTCTCGCACCACTTCTTCCATTACTTCGAAAGGAAGAACAAAAGGACGAAAACAACCACAGGTGGCAGTTCTGACTTGTAAACCCCAATTGGGCTCAGCAAAAACCTGCAAGACACTGTGCGAACGGAGTGTACGGGCAAGCTACCTAAAAGTCGGCAATTAGGTGATATCACCCGCAAAAGAGGGAATTTCCCCAGCGCTCACTCGACGCCGCTTGGGCTCAGTTGATCTTTGCCTTCGCGTGTTCTCGTCTAACTCTTCTTTCACTTTGTTCTGGTTCTTCGGCTTAAACCCCTCAACTTCCACTTTTGGTACTACTTTCGCTTGACCACTTTCAGCTCGACTGGGCCTTCGCGGGCACTCCTGGATTCTGTTACTGCTCGCCTGGCTTCTGCACACAAATAACTCTTTCTCGTTGACTGACCTGGTGCGGGCTACTTCCCCAGCAACGTGCGGTATCTTCCGCTGAAGGTTGTTCCACACACGGCGATATACTCCACCGATTTCACCTTCCAAAGGGCGAGACAAACGTACAGCAGGTGCCAAGAAAGCACTGTAATCCACCGGTTGACTGCTAGTAGTGTGGCTTGCTGAGCGTTCACTATCACAAGCAGCTGTGGACTGACCAAATGCAGGAATTTCTTGTTCCACCTCTTGGTTGTCTTCTTCTTCTCGCTTCTGTCTTTGCAAGTCTCTCTCCCACCGTCTGGCAATTCCTCTCAAAAAACGATTTTCAACTGCTCGCGCTGATCTCGTCCTAGAAGATTTTGAAGAAGTTGTCCCAGACGTGGTCACAAGCGGTGTCACCCGCCGCGAAGGACGCGTTATTACACGCGCGCGAAGCTGGCCCTGGGGAGAACCAGCTCCGCTACCATGCGAAGCGCTCGAAGTCTTTTTACTCGATCACTGAAAGGGGCTGCGTATATTGGGCTCAAATTAACTGTACAAGTGTAAACTGTAAACACAAGTGGTCCAACTCTTGAAATGATACCACGGGGTACGTTTCTCAGATAGCTTCATGAAACACTCCCCTGCTTGACTGAAAACTCACCGCGTGTGATAGCGGGTTGCAAGCCATCGCTTTAGGACCATCATGTTTCACATCCTCACATCATGCTCCACATCCACACCCCTTACCGCATCCGTTGTCTTTACGTAGTTTGATTACTGTAGATGCGAACTGCCTTTGAATTTGGGAACCGCCGTTTGCTGACACATCACTGTTGCATGTGACCCATGCTAGTTTTTGTCACCAAAGCCCCGGGCTTCAAGTATTGTGAAAGTATTTCACAGACAGCGAACGTTTTGGGACCGCTACTTTAAGAACAGGAAAGGGTGCCTGTGTGCGCTTTGAAGCCTGGGAGCTGGTGCTAGGGTACCGTCAGGATTTATGTGTGTTTTGGGGCCTGGGTGTTGGTGTTGCCGTTGGCTACAAAATTCGTTGCTTTGTGGGATCTATTCTGGTGTAATTCGCGCCCGTCGGGTCAGAAATGTACACTTTTGACCGATCGGGTATTGTTTATTTACAAGAAATCTGATGGCGGACTCATACTCTGGCATTTTTATCGCTAGAAGGACGTCGAAACTTTATCCTGTTAAGACGCTTGCAGCTTGCAAACCCCCACGGCAACATGCAGTGGCATGGCAACATTAGTAGCATGAATCAACAAATTGAGGCGGTTTGTCATGGCGTTTTTTCGTCCTCGAACATTTTGTTTTTCAGTGTCCATGCATTTTTTCTGATTGCGGCGCACTTGGGCTCAAGTCTTCCAGCGTTTTTTTGCGCCGATCCTCCCCCAAGATGCAAGTGCTTTCAGCAAGCGGTGGCCCGTGGCGACGGTTGTTTGGCTGGTGTGATTTTTTCAAGACCAGTGCTGCAGCGACCCGTGATACGGAAATTTGGCCACTGCGAACAAGATGCCTCCAGGGACCTGTAGGACGGCCACAGAATGATCCGAGGCAAAACTGATGCTCATATTTCAACTGTTGGTTTGTGTGGCTTGGTTGGTGCGGCGCCCAGGGCACATAGAAAACCGGCATTGGATTGTTTCAGCTGTATGCCAAATCAGTCGCACAGGTAAAGTTGCATTAGGCCCAGCAGTTGTGCATCAGGCTCCGGTCAAAGGGGCGTTGCTGCTGGACAGTGCAGAGCTGGTGCACGGCTTCACCACTTTGCTGTTGAGATTCAGTTCCAAGGCGTGGATTTTTCAACAACCGCGCGCGGTATGATCTGCTGAAGCCCGGCTGCGGGAACCAATCCCAAATTCCAATAGTTTCATGTGTGGGGGCGGTGTCGGTGTGGGTGTAGGACACCCTGACTAAACTATTCAAAAAGTTGTGCATTGCAAAACGACACAATGTTCACACAGAATTTGATTTTGCTGTTGTGGATAACCTCAGTTCGAGTGGTGGGCATTTTATGTTTTGACATCCGTGTCTTTGGGGAAACTGCGTGCTTATTATTTGCATTCTGTGTTCCGACAGGCCAGGCTGGTCCAAGAAAATGCTACGGATGTTCCACAATGTGATTCAATTCTTGCAGTCCCCACTTTGGCGATGATGCTTGGTTCCACAGTTAATTCAGGGATTATATATATATACATATTTGATTTTCGCGTGCCTGACTGTTGGACTTGTTAGACTTGTTTCCTCGTTTATTCATATTTTTTTTGGCAAGGATTGGTTCATTGCCATCCTGCCAGTGGTACAATGATGGGCAAGTACTTCAGGCCTGGTACGAACCGATTTCTAGCATGCGGTTTGGTTTTCAAACTTGCCCTTGCTGGGACCTCAGCGCCGCTTGGGCCGTGTGCATGTCATAAAGCAGGTGCTGCTAGGGAATGGCCCAACCGTACAGACGGGAAGCACCATTTCGACTTTGCCATCGGTGTTGGCAGCGCTCCGGCTGGAACGATAACTTGGTGAGGTGATGAGTACAGGGTCGAAACGATTGTTTTGTGTTCAAAGTGCCTCCACTGTTCAACAGCGTGTCCTGCTATTGAGTTGTTTTGTTATTTTTTTGGCAGGCGTTCGTTATTTTTCCACTGGGGCCCGCCAGCGGGGTGGTCTCCCACCCGAATCAGGCAGCAGACACCAGCGATGCAGCAGGGGCTCTAACGGCCGTGGTTGTGTCATCACTGGCTCCAGTGACGCCTGGAGCAGTGCTTCAAATCTGGCCACCGCAGGTGCAGGGTTTGCATTCAGGTCACGGAAAGGACAGCTGCTGATGACTTAGTAAAGGTAAGCCAAAACGCGAACCATTCACAATGCTTGTGGCGGGTTGAATGCCACACATAGAACATTCCTGGGGTCAAGTTTTGGTTTCGTATTTTCATTTGTTAGGTAAGCATCCTGCATCGAAACGCTGAATGCAGGCCTTGCCCTGTAGCTCTGTCATTTTGAGTGGCACGCTTTCGACCGGTGCAGCCGGGCGCCACTTTTCTAGCGTTGCCTGGCGATTTGGCACTGCAGACGTGGCCACCGGAGGGTTTGAGGCCTGGGCATGTTCAGAAGCACCAGTAGGGTACGATGCAATCCACCTGCTTGTTTGCATTGGCAAGGCATTTTTTCTTGGACGCGGGTTGGGAGAAGGGGGGCTGCCATTTTGGCGAACGTCCCCCGATCAATGATGAGAAACCATTGGCCACTTTGTCCAGGCGTTTTTGAATGCAGCCAGCACTTCAAACTCGCTGAAACTGGAAATTCCCGGGACGGCACTCTCTACTGCTGTTGCAGCAAGCGCTGCAAATCTGGTCCGGCTTGAAATTGTTCTCCAAGTCACGAACTGGTTGGGTCTCTCGTCAGAAACATCCGCACTTTGGCAAAATTGGTCAATTTTCCATCGTTAGGTGATCTTAGTCGTGAGTTTTGCATCGTCCAAGATTGCGGGATTGTTTGCAAGTGCTAGACAGTCAGACAAGGACATCCTGACAGTGGATCGGTCAGGGACGGTGGCCCCACTCGTATATCCCAGTTCAATTACCAATCGCACTATCCAAAGCAGCCAAGCAGTAAGCTTCAGCGTTGCAACCAGGCGGACGGACGGTTTTTGTTTTGTTCTTGCTCAATCCAGAGACAAAAAGACAAATGGTTTTGGCGCATGTGTTTCAAGGCAGTTGTTGTTCTTTGGGCATGCTGCTTTGAGAGATGCATAGGGATAGCTATTTGCAATGATTTGCGGCTTGAGCAGGTATGCGGACCAAACTGCATGTGGAACAGCACCTTGTCAGAGAAGTTGGATGTTTCAGCCTTCAATGAAGTCTGAGGGCCAGAGGGGTAAGATGACATTGTGCAGACTGTCACATGCGCATCTCGATTCCAAGCGTTCTCCCAGACCCTCTATATATAAATATGTGTGTGATACCTATCTATCTATTTATCTACCTACCTACCTACCTACCTACCCATCCATCCGTCCGTCCATCCATCCATCCATCCATCCATCCATACACTTTTTTCACACCGCAGCGCTACTGCACGATAGTTAGGATGAGTGGAATAATTCAGCTCCATGTCCATGTGTGTTTTTTGTGCATTTAGCGCGGCACGCTGTACCACAGTTTATTTAGCGTGTAGAGGCAAAGGAGCTTGAGCATTTGACTATGCATGCCATGGCCCCTACCTTGTCAACCACACATCGCCACAAGGTGAGGTATTGTCCAGGAGCAAATTCGAGATTCACGAGAGAGAGGGGGAGAGAGAGAGAGAGAGAGAGAGACACACAGACAAGAAAAAGAACCTAGTGTGTTTTTGCATTGCAACATGCTTTTGTCACTGTTGTGTTGTTTGGCGAAATGAGGCCATCTCGCTGCCCACCAGTTCTCTGTCAGAGAACTGGTTTGTGCTCAGCAACTCTAGCTGGTTGTCCTTGGACACTGTGCCCCGTCCACATTGAGGGCACATTTCACCTAGGTGAGGTTCAAGTCGGATGAACACTTTCCGCGAATTGCTCAACAGAGGGTGACTGGAAACAAGGAGATATTCTTTTGTTGAAGGATGCATGGATATTTGCACCATACTTAGTCCGGGCATTATTCCTCGCACAATCCTGTGTGGAGTGTATTTTGCCTTGTGTGGAAGCTTGTCATGAGAGATATGCATGATAGGAGATGTAGACTAACTTGCTGGGCAGGATGAGTATCTATATATGTCCTTGGCGCACTTCTAAGCTGAGGTCTTGTCAGATGGTGCTCGGGAGCCCTGGAAGGTGAGCTTGGCGAGCTACGCCTTCTCACCGGGCTCTACTCAGCAGCTAAAAGCTACCGCATCCTACGGGTCTGGCCCAGTACGGGAACACGAGTCTTGGATTAGCCTTTGGTCGCTTGTTGTCGACACAGACCTCCATGCAAGGACAGTGTCAGTATATCAGCGTGAACCATTTCTTGATTGGCCACGTCGCGGCTGAGGTGTTTAACCTGAAGGTTGAGGATGCCATTCCCCCTGTGATCCGTATCACTGCCCCCTATGTTGTTTCAGAGACGTGTGGCTTCAGCCTCGATGCCTCTGCCACCTACGACCCAATTGCCCCTACAACAGACGACTTGGTTTTCTGGTGGTCTTGCGCAACAGGAACTGGAACCATTGACTGTCGACGCTTGGTGAACTTCGGGCCACAGATTTGGATCCTCAAGAATGGCACTGGAAGCTCTGGGCCGTTGTTGATCGTGGATGGTGGCCAACTGACAGAAGGCAACTACACCTTCACTTTGCAAGTTCTGCGTGTGTCAGATCAAGCTTCCATTACCAAGGCATGGACGTTGGATGTGGTGAAAGCACCAACCGTCTCCATCGCCACGACCCCTTCGTGGTATGACGGGCAATCCGTGTCGACACAACCGAACACTGTGGGACCCACCAGCACAGCATACATTCGGACAGGCCAGGGCTGTGGCGAAAGGCTCTCAGCCCAGTGGCTGTGGGCCTTGGTAGAGGCAGAGAGCCCGTTCAACATCGTGACCTACTTTGGCAATTCTTCAGATGCCTCAACTTTTGCCGCATTGCCCGGCGATGTTCCGTATGACTATTTGCTGCCCGGATTTCGCTATTCTTACGCTTTGCTGGAACAAGCAGATCAGATGCCTCCGACCTTGCTGGATGCAGAGACCCAGGGACTCGCTTTCGGGCGGACAGTACCTTTCCTGGCTGATGCACCACCAGCAGCGGGCCAAGTAGCATGTGTACCAATGATCGGCACTGCTGCGGCAACCGACTTTTTCATCAGTAGTTCTGGATGGCATGATGAAGACATGAGCAATTTGTCCTATTCATACTACTTGCTGCCTTTGCCGGCTGGGGTGTCTTTAGCGAATGATGGAAATGGAGGCAGGTTGCCTTCATTTCTTTTGTTTTAAACCTCCCCGCTTTCACAAGCTTCAATTCTCTTCCTCAACAGCTCTACATCTGACAGCTGCAGCTTCCCTGAGGCGTCTCGGTGTCGGGCAACTTTGTGCCGCCGCAAGTCGACTGGAAGGATACAAGTAGTCCAAATCACTGGATCGCTTTGGGCGGCATATGCCTGGGTCACAGCCAAAGCATGCTGCAGCTTCGCTTGCCCGCTGGACAGCATATGTTGGCAGTTCTCGTGGAAGATAGCCTTGGTGCGGTGCGGGGACCAAGCTAAAGAGCCAATGAATCCCACAGCAGTCCCATGCATATAGCGACGTGAAGATACCGAAGCAGACTCTGTAGAGCCCTTCTTACTGTGGATGCGGGCCATTGAGATCCATGCTCTATTCCTTGTTAGAAAGTGCTGCCAGAACACCTTTCAAGTCAGATGTACTAGGTACGGCAGTTGCTTGCAGTCGTCATAGCCGTAGGACGCCTTCAACTCCGCCCAGGTGAGTTCTGCATTTTTGGCTGGTCCGCTGGTTGAAGCCTCGTCATCAGCTGCAGACATTGAAAAGGGCCTTGACATTGCGGTCATCTCGAACAATGCGGAGATCATTCTCAGCACGCTGGATGCTACGTCAGGGACTGGGTTCGATGCCACGAAAGAGGTCCGCAAGACAAAAGATCAAGATTCGAGCAACAAATTTATTATATATAGTTGGATTGAGCACCGGTGAAGCGTCCATTTGATAACGACCCGGCAGGCGGAAGCATTCACTGCAGCAGCCAGAGTTGCTGACTTGTCATTTGCCAGAATTCTGACTTGATTGGCTGTGATTATATAGTTTTGGACAAGGCATTCGTTTTGGCATTCTCTTCTCAAGCAAGCAACTGTGCAGAATGCTTCATTAGCAATCTTGAAGCCCTCAGCGTGGCGTGTCCTTTCAAAAACTTTACATTCACGTTTGCACCATGACGTTTTTGTGCTTTTTGTGGTTGTTTCGTGTCCAGGTCGGAAACGGGAATATGTCGGCTAAGCCGAGTGGTCCTTAGGCTGCAAGGAGACATGGCATGTCAGGCACAGTGCATTCAGCTTCAAGCCGGGTGGCTAGCTTTCAACACAATTAGCCCCTACAAGGAAGGACATTGACTTTTGCAAGAACCCTGTGCTGAACTGAGGCAAGCAGGCTTCTCGTCAATGCGACCCCAGCATTTGCATACATGATCTCACAGGCGTTGAGCACGGTCCTGGTTGCTTGGTGCTTGTTGTGCAGACACCAGGTTTGTCTTTGGTTGAACCATGGCTCTTTGACAGGATTGTTGTTGTCAGACTTCTTGATGGAGTTTGTCTCACAACACCGGGGGGAGAGAGAGACAGAGAGAGAGAGAGAGAGAACTAGAGCGAAAGAGCAAGAGAGAGTGTTGTCGATGCCAAGGTTGACATGTCCGCTATACCCTCTGTGGGTGTGAACCGGCTCCCTCGAGTTGTTTATTCAGTGGCTGTTGCCTATGCCACTGAGGTGGAGGAGGCTTCCTTTTCGGGGTTGGTCACCTGTACATGTCGGTCAGTCATGCGTAAATAGACTATATATAGAGTGCAGCCTGCCTAGTAAGGGCTGAACAATTTGGTATTGCTGGTGAGGTGGTGCTGCGCACCGAGCAGCTTACATCTTTGGCCACAGAACTGGGAAATGCAATCCTGGCCACCGTGCAGCTGGACGGCTCTCAGGTGCTGAGTTGGACACAAGATGGCAGGGGCCGCTTGGCCGCACAACGTGTTTAGAGATGTGTGAAGAGGACTCGCCAAGACCTAGGACGAGCACTTTGTTACTAGTAGCTTCTTTTCTCCTATCAGTAATGCCAGGAGCTAGTAGCTTCTTGTCACTAGTAGCGATGCCCTTTGTTCCTAGTATATAGCTTCTTTTCTCGCCCCCAATGACAAAATCGAATCCAGCTGCGTGAAGTGGTCAGCCAAGGATTGCAAGTCTACGTCGCCAAAAAGGAGGTAATGGATTTGCCTTACGAGGGGCTTAATGTTGGAGGACTGAACCATGAGAGTGCCATGCTGGCAGACCCGGGACGATCTGGGTTGCAAAGGACTTAGCATGCCGGCCTACACCTTTTAAACCGACCCGCTGGTACAGTATTTGATTGAGGAGCCTGAGTTCAATTTGGAGTAGTTTGCTTGCTTGGTGCCCAGTGGGTTATAATCTTCATGATGACTCTTGCTTGAGGCTGGTCCGTCCTGTAAGACCGTCGAAGTACAGCTAACAACTTGGCTTCAAAGTGGCCCGGTGGCAGACTTGTCCGGCTCTGCCGGGGTCATGGTTCTTCTAACTGCCCAGGCAACCCGTATGCTTGGGCCAACCAGACCACCTACGCCTCTACATTTGTCAGCTCTGACAGCACTGTTGTCGTGCCGCTTGGCCGAAGAGAGTGCAAGAGTCCGACGCTTTAGTACAGGCTAACAGCTAGCAAGTGTCCTTTGGGGTAGGTGCCAGTGACGAGCTTTCAGCTTTGCACGCTTGTTGACAACCAAGACTCAAGACTTTCTGGGTATCAAGTCCCAAGCAAATGCCACAGGGCAACTTTATGCATGCTGTGGTTGCTTGTGCCGCCCATGGGCAAGGCTTCAAATCCAGCATTGCTTGAGTGACGAGATCCTCAACCTGTCCCAACGGACGCTGACCCTCGAGCTGCCTCTACCTGAACGGCCAACAGCTTCGTTGCCAGAGGGGCATCCTGACTGAAGTTGAACAATTTGGGTTCAAGAATGTGTGGGAGCTGTCTGCTGTGAACTTGCTCAACATATGCAGGCGTTGCTCAGTTGGAACCTGTGTCATTGCACGAGTTGGGTTCTTCGGCATGTGCTTCATCAATATTACTGACAGGCTTCGCCAACCGGCGACGCCCCTGGGGGGACTGCGCGTATCCGCAGGCTCTTTGCACAGCGAAATCGACGATTAGCACAGCTTCTTACGCCTGTGCATACACACTCCCATACAGGTGTGCGCGCAAGGGTCTGATGGAAAAAGCGTGATAATCTCAGCTTCAGACACACTTACGCACATGCACACCCGCACACGCACCAGCACGCACACGAACGCACATGCACTCGCGCACACGCACACGCACGCGCACAAGCCCGCGCGCAGGCGCGGGCTCGGCTGCGGGCACGCCCAATGGGCGAAGTTGGGGCCACCTTTGCGTCAGCGAGCCTGTAAACACAGATAGCTTTAGGCTAGAAAAATTACCAAAAATGTAGCTTTTCTGTTTCAGCATTTTTCACGCCAACCAAAGTGACCGCGATATTACGCTTCTATTCGTGACTTAATTGAATACGCCATATAAGCCCAGGTGGTGCTAGAAATGTCGGCCGCAAGCGGACATTTTCAACATCACCAGGACGAATGTACTTTCTGGAATTAGGTCAAAAATAGAGGAAACTGTACAAAAATTGCTACTGTAAAGCTTTACCTCTAGAGAAGAAAGTATGCAAAGGGGAGGGTGGGTTTTGTTTGTCGAGCACCATTGGCACCACCAGAGTACAAGCAGCACTGTTCACATAAAAGCCAAAATCCTGAGGTCGTCTGTTCATAAACTACATGCATGTGCAAAAACACCGTAACTTACAGTGTTTTGCGCCAGGTCATGCACCAAACCAACCCCTCAAAGCAGGCTCCCGAGCCCTGAAGGATTTGCATCTTTCTTGCTGAGACTCTGCTGATGAGACTGATGGTCGACCAAGATCTGTCCTCAAAATTGGGCTCCATATTCAATGGTTTCTTTTCTAGAGGTTTTGAAGCTATAAGCTTGCATTTGCCAATTTTGTAAATTTTCATCTGTTTTTGACGTTCTTTTGACGAAGCCACATGAGCCCTGGTGATGCTAGAAATGTGGGTCGGCGGCATGGAACACATCTCCACATAGCAAGCTAGGCTTGATAGGGTCAACGGCGCGGCGTCGCCGGATTTAAGGGCTTGCGCCGGCTTACGCCCGACAGCTGGCCAGGGGCCAAAACAGGGGAGGGGGAAGAGCAAAGAAAGTGGAAGGAGGGACTATTGTTGTCGTTGTTGTGGTTCTTGTTGTTGCGATGGTTCTGGTTGTGGTTGCGGTCTTGGAGCCAAGTCGAACCCATCTTTGGGCTATGTGTGGCGGTCTTGGGGCGATGTTGAGCCCATTTTGGGTGTATGGTGTGCCATCTAGGACCTATGTTGGCCTATTTTGCGCCATTTATGTTGACATATTCTTAAGATGCGACGTTTTCTGTCCCGGACCCCCTCTCCGAGGCCAAATCCACGTAAAAACTCACGTTTTTTATCGCCAAGATGAAATCCATGGTGGCCGAAGGGCCAAAAACCTCGTAAAGCACAGCGTTTTTGAACATCACGCGCGCAAAGCGCCGTAAAGCACAGTGGCGCAGGTGGGTCGGGCGGTGGGTCGGCGGCAGGGGCGGAATTCCCTCCCTCCTACGGAGAGGAGAGAACCCTTCGGGAGAAGGGGCCCAACTGGGCCCTGGGGCCCAACTCAGCCCCTGGCCAGATTGAATGGGCTGACGCACTGGTGCCGCCAACCCTGTTTTTTGAAGGCTGTAGCTAGGGGAAAAGTCGGGGAAGAACATATATACCTGGAATCCACTTTTTGTCAAAGAGGAAAAGTGAACCCCCCGGACAGTAGTCCTGAAAACTGCCGCTGCGAGGGTGCCAGACGGCAGCTTTGAAGCCCAGGAAGACAAGTGGGCAGGGCCACGGCCAGAGAGTCCTGGAAGGAGGGCATATGAACAGCCATGATGTTTTGCGAGCAAATGTGGCCGGAGCGGGTGCCAGACGGCAACTTTGAAAACTAGTGCAAAAAAAGGCATCCTTCGCCAGCTTTGGCCCATGTTGTTCCGCGCGCAAATGTCACAGCCATAGGCGTTGAGTGGACAAAGGCGAACGTTCCACCCTGCGGCCCGGCTCAGGCCTAGGTAAGCCAGGGTCGGCGGATAGCTGACTTAGCCGACTTTGGGATTCTAGCAGGGGAGAAGGATTGCCGGTGTGAAGACCACTTGCCCAGCTGTGAGGCATGTCTACAAAGCCACTTGTGCAGTCTTTGATCCTGACGAGAGACAATGGACCAGAGACGGCGTGCGGTGGACTGAAGAGGAAGTGGCTTGCCTTGACTGTGTTAGTTGAGGGAAGATTTTGTTGGGGGGCACTGTCCTGCATTTTTGAACCACTGCTCGCATTAAGAAGCAAGATGCCTTCGCTCAGGAGACAATCAAATGCCATGTGAATTCTGGTATCGACGTTGCTATGGCCTTCACGGCTTTCTACAGGGCAGCGCCAAACCTCGAAGAAGAGCAACCGGTGAATGTTGGCATCATGGTAGGTGCGATGCAAAAAAAATCGGATTGGACGTTTGACACTTTTACCCGGCCCCTTTTCTCAAGTTTTCGCGAGAAGTGTGACCGTCACCATTTTCACCACACCTCTGTTGAATTGCATTGGTGTGGACCCTGATGCCCTGGCAGTTGCTATCCTTGTGTTCTTCTTTTGCCTGGGAATCGTGGCCTACAGTAACAGCAAGAAAGGCTCACAGGCAAGCTTCGAAGCTTTGTTGGAACCAAAACGCTGTTGGAAACAGCTTCTGGGTTTTTAGAAGCGTTGCAGGTTGTGCCTGAGCCAGATCCACCAGAGCCGCCAAATCCAGAACAGCCAGGGGGGGGCAGAGCCCACGGCCGACACTCCCGAGCCGGGGCCTCACAGTATCGCTGAAAGAGTGCGTCATGCAGGGGTGCTTACGTTTCACTTGTGTGCCTAGGGAGCTTGTACCGCATTGTGTGGGATGCTGCAAATGTTGCCGTTTGTTTTGACCATGTCGCACTCGAAGTGTGGGCATCCCAGAGATGGGATTGTCAGGCTGGGCAGGGAAGCCTGGGCGGCTGAGCCAGAAGTTCCTGCTGCGGCTGTTGCTGGACCACCTGAAGGTCATGTCGTAGCCACCTGAAGCAGTTTGATGAAATTGCATATCTTAGTGAAGGGCGGGGAGCTGTGTAGCATTTGTGTAGCATATCGTTTGTAGAATGCTCATGGATTGTTACGCTACTCAGGAAAGCCATTTCAGAGATTGGGAGAAGGAAACGTCTCCCAAATCCCAGTCCTCCATGACGCCCAAACCTGGCCAAGCTCCCAGTGTTCATGACAGAACAAGCAGTGAGCAGTGGATCAGCATCATATCATGTTATATGTATAGATTTTAAGTTTCCTTTTTTGCCAAGCTGGTGAGGCCCACAAATTCCTGAAGTGCCAGAGCCAAGCCTTGTGCCTTGCAGGCTTTTGAGCCCATACTTTTATCATATGATGGAGTGAGGCCAAGATCGACCCAGCTCTTTTCGTGGAAGCAATGCAACAGCACACGCTTGCATGCTGAGGCATCTGGAGCTCCGTTAGAGATCCGTGTAGATCCTTCCTTCCAGAGCATGACAGAGGGCTTTGCTCAGTCAAACCTGCCAAGAAGCTCAGAGGACCCTAACAAAGTGATTGTCAAGACCACCGCAGACCATTTCTTCACAAAGCAATCTATAAGTATACCTTGAAGAATTCGGTATGTATTGCTGCCCTCCGCTGCAACATCCAGGACCCACCTCGGCAACCTGAAGTGTGACCAGCAGCATCAGCCTTTGAGTCACGTGAGGCCTGGCTGTACTACCGTTTGAAAGTTGCCCATAAAGGGCAGTGCACATGAGTCTCTTTCGATGCTTGTTTTGTCTCAGATTCCGTGCTTGAGAGATAGTACTAATACAAAAGCAGCAGAAATTGATTCTGTTGGCCATTGCATTTGTTGCGTTTGCGTCAACCACAAGTTTGTTCTGTACAAGCAATTGAGTGCTTCTTGGTCTGCCAAACGGCTAGAACCCAAAACGAGATCTTGAAGAAAGGAGGTCCTGCCCACGAGCCATGATCAAAGCTGGATTTGAACATTGATACTTATGCCCGTCATCCAAGGCAGGACCCAACCCTTCTTCCAAGCGTCCATGTCTCCTCGCGCATCCAAAGATATTTCAGATGCGCCAGTCGTTTCAGTTTCACAAACAGTCAGGTCGGAACCGGACAAGAATTGCCAATCAGAATGTCGCTGGAAAACCACAGAAAACCTCTGACTGTCGCAGCTTTTGAACAATGAGCTCATATCAAACTTGGTGCCATACTCAGACTATGATTGGATGCCTACCAAGTAGGCAAGTTCTCCGTTTTCGGCCCACCATGCCTCCCTGGAATCAGCGGAGCCAGTTTCCAGTGCAAAAAGCAACGCAATGCAATGCACAAGTGAACACCTACAGTGTGCTGCGGGTACTATTTCTTTGTGAGTCATGAGAAAGCACCTCAGGGACTTGCATTTTCAGCTTGGGCACAAGCGCATCCTATACCCAGATGGCTTGGATCTTACTATTCGTGCTGGCTGGCCTGGGCTCCGCAGGGCCTTCAGGTTTTCACAGGCCAGTGTCATAGCATCAAAGAACAAAAAAGCCTCGCCGAGCTTGACTGGTGTTTCTTCCCGTGATTGCCGCAATGCAGTTTGGAAAGATCTGAAATTGTTCCTCAAAACAGCCAACCAAAAGGACGTGTGTAAAAGGAAGTGTGTACGTCCACGTCCTGCCTGGAGGTTGAAGGTTGACCGCACGACCTTGGGAAACACTTTTGATGGGATCGGCGGTTTGAGTGGGGGAGGTGCTACCAGTGCAACTTTGATGCATTGATGTGATTCTGTTTTGGCACCCAGGTTGAGCCAGCCACGTTTGAGCTTGGTCCGCAGCTGTTGTTCTGTTGTCGAACCAAGGTTTTGCTCCCAAACTACGCCGAGCCGGCAAAGTCTCAAATCCTCGACTACCTCTTCAAGCCCAACTTTGGCGCCTCCCTGCAGATTTTGAAGGTGGAGATCGGTGGCGACTCTCAGTCCACAGATGGCACAGAGTCTTCCCACATGCATGATAGCAGCCACATAGACCTGCACACTGGCTATGAATGGTGGCTTATGAAGGAGGCTTGGTCGTCGATTTATGTTGGCCACGGTGAGGATTGGTTGCCAAACATGCAAGGCCTTCGGATTTTTCACTTTCTTACCGCTGCACAAGTCTGTCCTTGAACTCTGGAAGATTCTTGAAGATCCTGGATAGACTACTGTAACTTGCTCGGTAAACCATTTTATGTGTCTTGTTTCTTTTGCCCACAGGCGAAGAAGAGGAATCCAGATATCAAGCTCTACGGCTTGGCATGGGCCTTTCCATCATGGGTCGGCAATCGTAGCGGTGACCCCTTCAAGTTTCCCGAGCTAACTGCGCGGTATTTGACCGAGTGGGTAGCTGGAGCCAAGTCAGAATATGGGAGACTTGGCCTCAAGAAATGTGGTTAATTAGACTGACTGATACTGATTCCACATAGGCTCCTCTCTGGCTTCACTAATTTCTCCTGTGTGTGACATTTCCTCATTTCTGCACAACAATTCTTGTAGTGGGTTCTTGTTCATAGCTTCTTTTATCTTCTTTTGAGGCTTGACGTGGACTATTTGGGAATTTGGAATGAGAAGGCCTCGGACAGCAATTTTGCGGGAGGCCTAGCTTTCTTTCAGGATGTAGGTGGCAATTGTACAAAGGGTGCTCATCTCATAGACAGCCTTTTTTCTTTTTGGTTTGTATGCACTATACACATCGAAAGAATGTGTTATTTCATGCATGTTGCCAAGACCTCCTCACACCCATCAGATGCACTTGCTGCTTTGAGCACTGTCAGGTGCAAGTTCTCCGGAAGACCCTAAACCAGAGAGGTCATCAGGGAGCTTTGGCAGCATACTATCAGGCTTGAGGGCTGATTCCGGCTAAGCATGGCTGTGAGCAATTTCGTCAAGAGTGGTATCAACTTCCGTTGCCATCAAAATGCCACTGATGCCACGACGGGAGGTTGTCAAAGGATGGTGCAATTGATGCCCTGTGAAGTTGTGTGGCGAAAGGGGCTGCGATGCTCTAGGAACCAAATGTGTGACATGATGTGTTGGTCTGAGGAACAAAGCTAGTGGTGAAAGATGGAGGCCTTGACATTTGCGAGACCTTGCTGAAAGACCAGAAGTATGCTGATGCTGTTGACATCATCGGCCTGCACTATCCAAACGACTTCCAAGATTTTTCTGCATCCTTGAGTCAAGAGTTTTACAGAAACCAACGCAGATTGTGGACAAGTTGCAACAAAAAGCCTTGCTGCCTCCCTGAAAATCTAGGAACCACATCCTTCAAGGAAGCTCCCCCGCCCTCAGCCAGGGGGAGCTTCCTTGAAGAAGCCTGAGCTATCGTGCGTCCATATTATGTAGTAGTAGCTTAAGTAGCTAGCAGCTAGGAGCGTCCAGTACCTTACTTACATAACCAAGTAGGTGCCTACTGTAGGTAGTAGGATTGGGCCAAAAAGAAGGACGCACTTTCTCTGAGGCATGCCAGCGCCTCAACAAGCCCATTTGGGCCTCAGAGGAGTCGTCATCATATGACGACTTGAATGGCGCCGCTTGCTGGTGGCGAGTCATCAACTCCCACTGGGTCATCAACAAGAGACCCGACAGCACCAGCGAAGAGTGGGAGCTCAATGGACTTGTAAATCATGTGCCTGAATATTGAATGCTTGGTGATCCTTTGGAAGATGTTTTCTCAAAGGATGTTGAACTCATTGCAGATGGTCTCTAGACTCTAGAGACCAAGGATAACCTCATCGATTATGTGGAATCTGGTAGGCTGGAGAGGGACCAGAGCACATTACCATCACAAACCGTTTGAAGTCTATTGTAGGCCCCAGGCGTCGTAAGAATTTGTTGGTACCCTTTGCGCAAACCTAATGTACCCGGAAGATGGTTCAGAACGCAGCACAGTTTTGAAGCTTCAAGTGCCAAGAAATTTCCTGGCCTTGTGGCAGGTGCATACTATCACGGTACCAATTGGTATGCCAGCTCGATGATGACTTCTGTGGAACCCTGGAGTGGACATTATGAAGTCAATCCTGTCATTTGGGCAACTGCGTGCCTCGCCCGAATTTGGCACCCCCCCGTCGTGAAGTTCTAGCTGGGAGGATGGTTCTCTTCTTGCCTTGGATCTGACCCAACACCAGATTGGCGATGTCATCTCCGGGCCAAGGCATGTGACGCAATTCACCAAGATAGGTTGGAAATATTTGCTCAATGGCACTGGCTCCGGAGAGCTGCGGAAGGGTGGCTACTACGCCACCTGGGTGGACCCCAACTCGAATCACTTTACCATGAATATTGTGAAGATTTCTCGCAACTTCACTTCCACATGCTCTGAACATTGCTTTGCAAAACAGTCGAAGAACCTAGAGTCTAGAGCAAATCCAGGTGTAAAAAACCAAAGCAGCTTCGATAGCTTTGTAGCTTCCAAATCTTTGAGCCAGTTGACGCTTTTACTTTTACTTCATGTTAAGCCTTTGACTTTGACACTTGGTCCTTTGGTATTTTTTAAACCTTTGTTTCGCTTGGTGCATCCCATTCCACTTTGGATTCAGGTGACCATGCCATGTGCACGCGACCACTGCTGCCAAGCTTTGAAGTCAAAGAGGCTCAAGCTGTTCGGATTCAAACTGTAAAGACTTTACAACAAGGGCTTCAGTTGGCTATAGTGTCTCCCTGGCTCTCACCCCGTCCACTCATGTGTCATGCTATTGGTGGGTGCACAAGGAGCAGAGGCGCCGGTGTGCATGGATGAATTTTACACACACACACCAGGTCAGTGTGTGCAGCTTTCCTTGAGTCAGACTTTGTGCTGCAGGAGCATTTGACAATACAGTTGGCCCCTTCCATGAAAGCCCCAGAGACGTTGCAGGTGTGGTGACTTGGACTTTGACATGATGTTCTAGTTTCAGAACAATCATGCTTTACTTGATTGGGATCCACAGTTTACTGCCGGAAACGGGTTGCCAATGACAACAACTGGTGCAGTGATCCAATTTATTTAGCAAGGCTGAAGCCTTTTGGAGGCTGAGGCGGGTTTGATACGGTTCCGGACTGAGGTACTCGAACTTTGAAAGATTTACCGGCACTCCGCCAATGTTCCAGAAATCCACAGTGAAGGTCGAGAACAATCAATTCAGGCCAGTTTTGTGCAAGGTATGCAAACATAGTACGCTGGCACCTTTGTGCTTATGTGGGCCACCTTTCCAAGCACTTCTGGAAAGAGTAGTGCTTGAGGCTCATGGTGCCAGTTGGAGGTATGTTCACTATCACTACCATCACGTCGGGGCACAAGGGCAGCTTTGATCACATCCCGGAATCTTCTCCGCCGTTCCCGCTCGACTATGTTGATGACTTCCAGTCAACCGAGGACTCTCAAAATGCAAGGTGGGTCAATGACGGGCATTCAAACGTACGACACATCACCAGTGGGCTTTTCTTGAAAGCCGGCTGCCTCCGAAACATGGATGGACCAGGTGGTTTGCGGATCAAATCGGGGCGTTTGAAATCCATCGCTCAACTGATGGCAAGAAGAGCTTGAAGCAGATGGTGCCAGATCTTCCGACTCTCGTCTACCCATATCGAATTCAAGTTGCATTGACATGACATGGGTTACACACCAAGCGCTCAGCCAACTCAGCCTGAGGATTGGTTGGAGTGATCAAGGCACCAGAGGTCCAATGACCTTAATTGGCATGAGAGAGTGGCAAGATGTTGAGGCAGGAGATGCGACAATGCCCTGCAGAACAGAATGAAACCGCGAAGCCTGAGGGAATGGGCAAGTTGGATTGACTTGGCCAATCCTCGTCAGGTTTCAGAACAATAAGAGGGTAATCAGCTTCAAAGATCCACTGGTCAGGTGAGTGTCGCATTCAAGTTGCCCAACAAGCTTGCAGCTACGACCTGTCCAGTTGATGCCTTTCCGATTGACCTTACTGACCGACAATGTTTTGGGCTCACTGAGAGTCCCTTGGTGGTGTATGTGTGGAGTGATGTAAAGGGAAACCTGTCTTCGAGAGAGAGAGAGAGAGAATGGATATGGCAGATGCGTGGAAGTCCTCCTGGGGCCCGGGGCATCAGGGTTGAGTTTCAGCAATGTGCTTAAGCATGCTTAAGCTGTTGTGCCACCAAGGCAAAGATCAGAAGTCTCCAGAAGCATGCCGTGAGTTGTGCTGTCCGCTCACTGATGCTTGCAACGTTTGGACCTCAGAAGTTTTCTTCCGCTTCTACAGCGTGCCTCTTGAGTGATGCGCTGCCTCAGGTCTGGGAATGGGAAGAGTCGTCGCAGTCCTGCTGGATTGGCTACGTAAGAGACCCGAGTATGTGCAAGTCTGCGAAAGGCCAGGCTTGTGCCACTGAGCTCATCAACGTTTTTGCATAATGTGCCTTTCTTTTCTGTTCCATTTTGCACCTTGACGTGCATCGTTACTTCTGCAAGAGACATGGGCTGAAGATTCGTTCGCAGACATACTATACTAGAAAACATGGGCATAAATGGTGCTGCTGCTACTATGTCCTCTAGTCTGGCAGCCATGCAGTCTCACATCTCCAGGTTACAAGTCCCAATACCGACATCTTGACCGATCTTATGCAGCCTGTGTGGCCGTGCGAGTTGATCAGATGTGGGACAATGGTGTTATTTTTTGCGTCTTGGCTGTGCAGAGCTTGCCGATTGCCCAACACTGGTTTCCGTTTGCGGGCCGGGGGGTCCAGACTTGAGTATCCCCCAACTCATTTGTGACTCCAGAGGATTCAATTGGACTTTCCAGCCGGTTGGTGTAGAGCAATATGTGTGGAATCTTGTGGGGCAGCTGCAGGTGTTTCTGCTGAGGGCTATTGGCATTTGTCCAATTCAGGACCAGCCCTACCAGGCGCGGAAACGCAGGGAGCATTGTGCTATTTGTCCATGGTTGACTGACCGATTCCAAAAATATGTTTTCCTGCCTTCACTTGTGATGAAGACGATGTGCCTGTTTGCTGCCTGTTGTGAAAGCACCTTTGCCGTCTTTCTTGGGAGCCCCTTTGGAAAAGAAGTAGGCTTGCAAGATTTGATTTCACCCAAGGAGGGGAAGCAATTCCCGATACTTTGCACTGACAGATTTGTTGCAAGCGGGATGTGCCAGGTTCAGCAAGCATTGCAAAGCCTCCCCTTGCTGAGGGGCGTGTGTTCGGTGTGGGAAACGATTGGCACACCTTGGCAATGAGCGTGGAAGCGGATCAGGCTTCGTCAGTAATCTAACCTGTTTGTATGCAGTTGTCATTCTAGACATGTGGGGTGTGGCACATTCAGCTGGATGATTGTTTGGCAGGCGCGAGCCAGCCTTGATGGGAAAGAGATTCTTACAAGTTTTCAAGTGCGTGACCTGGACACAGGCTTCTCACTCCACTTCTTGCTTTCGAGAGGTGTGACTTTCCCACAAAACTGTAGACCTGCAGGATTCGCAGCCATCGGCGCAAATGACTGGTTCCCGATAGAGTTCCGGAACTTCAGTGTCAAGAAGGCTGGCGATCAAGAATGGGGTGGCCCTCTCTACATCAGTCTCGCCTTTTTCGTTTCTCCCTTCCTTGTTTTCCTTCCTCATGAAAGACTTGAGGTCTCGGACAATACTACCCTCCCTGTCAATAAAGAACATAAAGAGGTCCAGCCTGGGAACGAGAATGGCCATTGCTGAAGGCATCCACCGGATGGGATCCTCCACTCAGCTGCCAAAACCCTGCAGTGGGGGCGCAACTCAGCGTCCGGGCCTGTGCCCGCAATGGCAAGGTTGCGGAGGTGGGCAGATGGTGGGAAATGTGCATCGAAGAAAAGATCCAAGTACATCTGGACTCGTGGGTCCCACCAGAATTTGGACTATGGGCAGCGGGTCAGCGGGTCTGGGTAGGGTACATGGAAGAAACCAAGTATATAGCATGACTTGGACGTTGCTTTTTCTTCAATATCACACAGGACCAAGCCTGGGAGCTATTGCCATCCTTTCAGCTGCAGCATGTTCCCTCAGGAGAGGTTTGTGGAGGCCTTTCAAAGTACAGACAGTCAGTCCTGGAAAAGTACGCACTTGATCGGAAGGACTCTGCACCAGTGCAACCGCCCCGGGACCAGTGATTCTTGAGAACTGCCTCTTGGTTTTGAAGGCCTCTTTTCGGTTTCTCCCCTCGCCAGAAAACACATGTAGAAAGTTCTGTTAATGTCAGCACGGAGGCTCATAGCAGGCCTTGTGCTAACTAGTGATTCTGCACAATTGCGCTCAGGTGATGCAACCAAGAAGAGCCAGCTATTTGTCAACGATTACACTTTGATTCGGAATAGGTTGCAGATCATCACCGCCGCGGTCGTGTTGCTTGGAGACAGGAAGACCTGATTGTTGCGGAGTGCAAAGCCAGAGTTGGAGGCTAATTTTTCTTCAGTTTCTCCAGGTTCTAGAAGGGTTGATGGTTTCATTGCAAACTGGAAGGCAACAGCCGTTAGCGGGCAACAAGACTGGGGAAGCGTTCGTTGGACAAAATGCTGATTGGAAGTCGTGGAGCTATTTCCCGCGGCTCGGATAGCAGCAAAAGGTTGTGACATCACAAGAGCCGATGGAACGCTAATACGCAAGAGCCTTTTGAGGGCAGTATATATTTAGTGTCAACGCAACCTTTGGTAGACCTGAGGAACACCAAGCAGCTCCGCAATCAGTATGTCGCTGACGTCAACTTGGGGTATCCAATGTGTTTATCCACTTGCCCGAAGGGTGCTGAGCAGAGAATCACGCTGATTTACACCTAGGTTGGAGCACACCTGCTCGTTCTGGGTGTACATCATGCACATCCACCTCAAAGAGACAATATTTTCCAATCTTAGCTTCAACGTAGCCAGGCAAAAGTCCGGCCATGGACGTGGCAGCGCTTGAGAGATGCTCAGATGGGTCGTTTGAAATTGGCCCAAAACATATTGCGCCCCGCGGCCACGAGGATTTGATTTTTGATAGCTTTTGCTCCTAGCTTCCTTGCTCCTAGTAGCGATGCCCTTGCTCCTAATAGCTTCGTGTTACTAGTAGTAATGCCAGGAGCTAAGCTGTGTTCAGGTCCCGGGTAGTTTGGCTGTGAACAAAAATCACCCGTACCAAGTGAACTCTTTCTGCGCAGCCATTCACCGGCCTTTCACGGGTGTGCACCCAACCTCACCTGGTATCGTAACCTCTATTACCTGAGCAACTTGCTTGCATTCAGGAAGCTGCTTGGCAGTTTTCGTTTTTTTATTTTAGGCCCTGCAGCGTCGGCTTTTGCTTTCTAGGCCCAGTCTTTACAGAACTGTTTTCAGCACAGCCCCTGGAGTTGTGAAGACTTGGGGCTGTAGACTGGAGACCAACAACAAACAGAAGAGAGCCCATTGGCACAGTGGCATGCCAGATATGTCGGAGAGTCTGCTGGCTTTAGAGGCACTGGATTCATGGCGACAACAGAGCGGACTCCGTTTATGAATCCAGATAATGACTTGTCGAGCTTGAAGGACACAGCTGTTCGACATGGCCACTCGGCGGTGTAGCATGTGGATCAAGATTGAACAATATGTCCTGGTGTCTCGTGTGAAATTTGTGCGTGGAGTGGACACACGGCAAGCGGTATTATTGGGGAAAAGACATGTTCATTTCTTTTTTCACTTTTCATTGTCCATCGCTTTGATTCTTGTACTTTGAAGCGTTTTTGAGAGAGAGAGAGAGATTGAAGCGTTTTTTGATCAGTCGATTGCCAATGAGGCTTTGTTCGGAAGGTCTTCGGCATCCTTGGAGTGCAGCTTTTTGCTACTACAATTGTGGCAGGCCAAGGGGCGGAGCAAGATGTTTTTGTTTGTTCCAAAAGGCTTGCAAGCCCACGCTTTGGATCCCATTTATAGTAGGATCATTTCGCCCGCAACAATCCACGCTAGTGAGTGTAGCAATTGAAAATTTTGTTTGGTGTGGGTTGAGCACAGGTCCTAACAGCCCCAAAGCATGTCCACCTTCCTGAACGCCGTATTGAAATATGCACTGAAACCCACTGTGGGAACCATATGTGTTCACCCCAGGCTTCATTACCATCTATGGCGATCATTTGGATCCTTGGCTGGGATTTATGCTGAGTTCACCCTGCTCCATGTTGGAAAGTGTGCCCGATGGTGGCAGCTCTGTCAACGCTAAACAGCGCCGTCATTTTAGCGCTGATCCATGGTACATAAAATTGAAGTGTGCTGAATCATGTTTGGAATTGTTGTGCTTCCGAGTTTTGCCTTGAGTGTGTGCACCGCGAGTGCTGCGGCGCAAAGGTGTCATCAAATCCTGGCCTGGTAACCACGCTGATGGTGTGCTCAATTGCCCATCTCTTGGTGTCGCTGTGTGAAATACATTATCGTTCTTTTGTGCTGTGTTTGATTTTCTCCGTCTAAGATGCTCGTCCTCAGCGTGGGGCTGAGCCTTCTGAGTTGGAGCGTGTCGACCCAGCTCTGTTCCTGTTTCTTTATGTGCTGAGGTGTTAGCTGCGTTTTCATGTGCTGCCCAGACACCATGAGGCGGAGTCCCACCAACTATGCGCTGCACCTCGGTTGCACAATGGATAGGCCCTAGGCCACAGGATCAATGTATAGGGTGAGCCGAAAATGCACTTGTGTTTGTCAAGGAAGCTATACAACTTTAGCTAGCTAAGTATGTTTTTGCTTCAGTAAGCCGGGGAAGGCCTGAGGCCATCTCGTCGGGGATATTGCCTCCAACCTGCCCAGCTACGTTAAGGTAAGAGAAGATAACGATAACGATGACATTCATTCGGCTGTTACGGTTAAGCACCGTTGATAAGATGACGTTGAGCTGGTCGTTACAAATATATGTGTCGTTTCGTTGAACAGAGGGTTACACAGTGGCGCGCTTTTGCAACCGATTGCCATAGCTTCCGTTTACACCTGATGGGCTCAATCTCTTTTTAATGCTTTCCCCTATTTCGGGATGTTCTCACCACTCAACAGGGTAGCAAGTGGGTATCCGTGAGGCTGTCGCTCTTCACCTTGGCAGAGGCCGTCCTAGTTGGCGGCTCGGCGAGAGATTCAGTTGCGGTGGTGCCTTTGCTTTCAACACTGCTATCATTGGCAATCCCTGATTGAGTGCTCACAGGCTTCATCTGCGTCCAATACACAGTGCAGTCGATCCTGGTGACTTTGGCCATCACAGTGATGCTGGCCGCACTGGATGGCTGAAAGAAAGTCTTGAGGTTTGAAGGGAGCAAGCAAGAAACAAACCCAATTGCCCTGAGATGTCATAACTCAGTCTGCTGCTCCTGCATCCACAGATGCTACATGTGAGGGATTTTGTTGCATCTTCAGGCAGTGGTGACTCTGTCGCTGATGCTCTTTTCTTGCCAGACCACGTGTCTCACATGCAATTGGCCCTTTGAAAGTGCACCGGTGGAAGACAACCCTCAGAGATGCAAGAGGGCAGGATTGTAACTGTCCTTTTGTATCCTAGTGTAAGAAAACTGCCTTTTTTGCTTGGCGATTTTTTTGGTGTCCAAGGTATGATTTCACTGGCTATATGCCCTACATGTTTACCGCCACATTAGTTCTGCTCTTCCTGGGGATTGGCATCTCCATCTCTGCAGCCTTTGGGGCTGCAGGCACTTTTAAACCCAACATCAGCGCGGGTTGGATCTTCTGCAGCCCCCCTTCAGTCAGAAAATTTTTTATTCAAAACACATGTGCTCAGGCACCGGCGCCTTTAAGGTTCTGTGCCTTGGCATCAGGAAGGGTTTAGAGCAGGACTTGTGCTTGGCCCGGTTCGGCACCTTATTGCGTGCTTGCAGAAGGGCCATGCCCGGACTTCCAAACCGGTGCTTTTTTCTTCAGCCCCACTTTCATGACACAGACAATGGAGAAGGGTGAGGAATCCAATGGCTAGAACACTATATAGACATGTGATGGTCAGATGACGGTTCTTGTTACAGGCCTCTTTCAATCTTTCCGCATTTTTTCTTGGCCAGTGCATTCAGCCTTTCAACAGCCCTGCCGAGGAACATGATTTATGCTGGTCTGGGTGCCTTGATGTTTTCCTTCTACATCGTTCTCGACACGCAGATGATCCTGGGCGGAAAGCACAGCAAGTTCAGGTGCCTTGACCGTGACCAAGCGTGACGGGCAAGCAGTGCTTGTGGGTTTTGGTGTATCATGTTAGGTTCTCCATCGATGACTATTGCATGGCCGAAGCCAGCCTGCAAGCTAAAGCGTGCTGAGCAGAATAGAGGAAGAAAGCAGAAACATATGAAATCAGCCATGAAAGCGATGGAATATAATATAAACAATGAAAGGGCAGTTCAGCTGTTGACAGCACGACTTATATACTGATTCTCGACTGATTCTTCACATGATTGCCACGGTTTTGTCTAAGGCCATTAATATCTACATGGACATCGTGCAGCTTTTCCTCTTCCTTCTGCAGCTCCTCGGCGAGCGCAAATGACGCTGTCACCGATTCCGATTAGTCGAACAGGGAGCGGAGTGAAAAGAGACGCAGTGAGCTTGCCGCAACGCTTGCCGACAATCTGATCACAGGGCAAAGGAGCTGATGCAGAAGAGAGTGAGAGAGGGTGAGAGATGGTTGCGCCCAATGTGGATCCTGGAGCATGTTGCACTGAACATAATTATCTCCTTTTCTTCGAAGCCAAGTCCATTTCAAGACCTAAGTTCTTGCCATGGCGGAAAGGGAAGAGCCGCGCCGGTGAGGCGCAAGTGCGGCGCAATGGCCAATGAGGTAAATTCGCCCGATTCGCCGGGGCACTTGTGGTCCTTGCCGGTGCTGTTGCAGGCAGCTGCACGGGGCAAGCCTTCTGGCTGTGAGGATGAGCTCAATACTGACAACGAGCAAGAGTTGTTACAGAAAGGAAGGCGTGCAGCTAAGGAGCCCCGGGTCACCTGCCAGGTTTGGAACACTGTTGCGCAGAGAGAGAGAGAGAGAGAGTTATGAGGTACAAAGAGCTTCAATGGGATCAGTTTGATAGAAATCTCTTGAATCCTTCAATAGTACTAACTAGCCCTCCATGTTCCAATGTTCCAGCTTGCAGGCGAAGGAGCTTAACACAGACAATGAGGCCGAGCTGCTTCGCAGAGTGCAGACTGTGCCAAAAGAGGAAGCCTGCTACAAGGAAGTCGTTCAGAAGAATCCTTCTGAGTCACTTGGGCAATTGGTGCACTTTGCCGAGGGCCTTTGCAGGCATCCGCCTGTTATCGGACGAAGCCATGAGAGACTGGGAAGTGTTCTCAGTCCTCCTGTCTTGGAGCCCACCACCATTGAAGCCGCAGAGGCTAGTGCAGAAGAAAGTGCAAGTGTGAGTGGAGAAAGTGCCAAGGGCCAGAGCATCGGAGACCCAGAAGTGGGTTGTGCAAATCATGAACCAGATCAATGCAAAGGCAATGATATGGAGGGTGCAGAGGCCAGCAATGCAAGCGGCAATGCTGCAAGCCCCATCAATGAGGCAAGAGGGAAGTTCATCTCGCAAATGGCACGGGGAGACCTTTCAAAAGAGGTTCCACCATTTCCGGCACTGAGCCCTGACCAAGCCAAGTTCACCAATGAAGCTGGCGTGGAAGGCTATAGCGAGACAGTGTCTGAAATTTCCGGAAATCATTCTCTTGACCTTTGCTTCTTGCGCCGAGCTGATTGCCGCTTCACTCAGGCAGGAGCTGCTTGGTTTTGTGGCATGCGAGCAGGCTACATAGACTTTGAGTGCTATACTGCGGAAGTTTGTGGGAGGCGGGGTGGGGCACTTTGTGGAATCATGCATATACTGTAACCAGATTGACGTTCGAAGGTCGTTGGCATTTGTTGAAATAGGCTACAGCTGGCTCAGGTAGAGCCAAATTGTGTGCATGCAAGAGTCAATTGGTACACCTTGAAACCATGTTAGTTTTGGATTTGGACACTAATCCAAGCCATGGAATCCCGGTGTGAGGGAACGCAGCTTTTTACAACAGATATTCGAAGCTGTGGATGACAGCATCGATGCGGTGTGGAATGCACGGGGTGCCCGCGAACGAGAGCGTGCCTCTGATGACTTTCCACTGTTGCTGGCAAACCTCAGCACTCACCTTCGAATCTACCACTTCCAGCTGAAAGAGAAAGGATGTATTGACACTTTAGATGGACGTGCTGTGATTTTAGAACTGTTGAGCCGCCTGGTGGAGGTCCTAGACACCCTGGCCCCACTTGAGGGGGGTCATGCAGCCACCGCCGTCCCTTGCCTGCGTGAGCTGGCCTGTGACGCGCTCAACGAGGCTCTTGGATCTCGTGGCTTTTTGCCGCTGTGCATTTCCTACATCACAGAGAGCACAATGGATATCTTCGGAAGAGATCTTGCACTGGAGCTCTCAATGCATGCCTTGATGGCCATACAGCTTTCTTTGCTTTGGTTCCCCCCGACTCGCATCACTCTTCCTGAAGAGACATTCATTGACATGGAGGGCTACGAGTGCGTGCTGAGCGTGGCAGCTGACCTCATCACTCAGTTTGAGGAAGAGCCTTGGGACTTCCTTGGCTTGGAACGCTTGGCCTTGGCGATGGACATTCTTCGCATAGGGATGAGGTCTAATGCAGGCATCGACCATGTTTGTGCACAATCGGATGCTTCGGAGGCGCCAACAGTAGCGCCGCTGGCCTTGAGGGCTTTGCAGACACTTGCCTTTACGGCCTTGGAGGATCGGGAGAGCAAAGCTGCTCTAGCCGCTCTCCCGGCTGCTGTGCGGATCATGGGCGCCTTGATACATGTCACGCCCATCGCCAGGGCAATGAACCTAGGGTTTGTTGTCCAAGCGCTGAGGCAAGCCCTTCAATGTCGGCCTTTATCGCTCCCACTTGCTGTCGCCTTTCGCGACTTGGTGCTCCGTGAACGGCCGAGACATTGGTTCAGCCAAGGGCAGGAGGCCGCACGTGTCCGTGGAGACTTCTACCGCTATTTGCACAGTGCCTAGGTCTTGAATTTTACCTTACTTACCTTACTATCTTACGAGTCTTACTGTTGCTCTACTTTGCTAGTAGTGCCTCCGGAGGACAATTGTAGACTTGTGCGAGACTGCTGAGGCGAAAATGTCTTGAACGAATTGGCAATTGCTGCCACTGATCGGGTTGAAGAGCTGATGGATTCACTGCAGAAGAAGCGCCAGGGCGGAACTGGGCCCAACTATGTGCCATGCAGAAATGTGGTGCCGTGTGGCACGAGAGAGATGGCCGTGGAGTCCCTGGAAGAGGCTGTGATCATCGGAGCGTACTACGATTGTGTTGAGGCTGCAGTCCTTGCAGTCTACGGAAAGACTTCCAGAGTAGATGCTCAGAAGAGAGCAAGTGTGGAAGTGTGATGAGATTATCCGCCAAATCATAAGAACGGACTTTCTATCCTAGCATGCTGGAGGCCAAGAATAAACCAGACGTGAAGGTCGACAACTATGTCATGTTACCATTAGGCTTTGGATACCTTGAGCAGAGGCCTTTGATCGTGCCTGCTCCTTTTTTCGCTATCCGCGAGAGAGAGGATCACCGGCGTTTACTAGTAGCTATATGAAGCTATGAAGTTATATAAGTTTCCCTAAAAATCTAGGAGCCAAATGACTAGTGGGAGCGTGATTTACCCTGCGTCCATGCCCAGTCTGGATGTAGCTAGCTAGTAGCGAACTAGTCGCCTTACTTACTGTAATTAAGTCAAGTAGGCGCCTACTTGATTAAGTAGGGAGGGGGGAGCGGGCTACAAGTAAAGGAACTTTCTTTGTCCGAGGAAGAAATGGTTGAGCTGCAAGAGCTGCGATCATCGTTGCGATCAGCTGGACCCATTTCGCCTCTGGAGAGCATGCGCCGCCATTTCCAGCGTTGCTTTGCCCTCCCGACTTGTGGGGCGCCGACACGCGAGCCGCGGCTGCGGCGTTGAAAGCAGGCGAAACCGGACGAACAGGTGGACTTGAATCTTTCAAACATATGCGGTGTGAAGTCAAGTTGTTAGCTTTCGCAATGCTGCTAACTCCCTGGAGGCCAAGCCTGGAGTCAACATGTGCATGACTGAGACTGGCATTTTTAAAAATTAAGGCTTGAAGGGAAGGCCCCAACGCTGAAAAACTTGCAGAGCAAATGGAGTCTTGAGTATACACATACGACACACACACACACAGTTTGGTTCAATTCGCTCACTTGTTGCAGCATCAGGGCCTTCAGCTGAACCTCAGCACAGTCGCGGCAGGCATTTGTCACGAAAACAATAGCAACAAAGTATGTTCAAGCCGCTTGTGCTCTCAGATTAGATTGTTGGGCTGGTTTCTTGATCCTTCAAACCTGCACCGTTCTGGGGTGTCGTCATTTTGGAGCCGCTTGCTGTTAAATGCGAGCAGGAGATCCTTCTGATGAAGGTTTCCCGGTTCCCACTCTTCGCCTCGTCATTGTCAGATAGATTGAATCCTTAAAGCTGGGACATACGAGTAACATTCACGTACGCAAGCTTATGATATCTTATGACACCCCCACCAAGAGAGAATCAGAAGAACGTTTGCTTGTTTGGTTGTGGTGTTTTGCTTTGTTTGGTGCTTATGAGCTTGCTGCAGAAAGACTCTTCAGTAGCGAAGACCCAGATGAATCGTTTCACCCTTCCGTCTGCAGACCGCTGGCTTTGACCAGCACAGCATCGACTGCAGTCGGTGTTGCCGCAACTGCCGGCCGAATTTATGATGCAGCCCCTGGCACATGAGGAGTGATTCGAGAGATTAATCCGCAACCTGCTGCATGATCACCCATCCATGTTTCCTCTGCTTTTTGCTTTCACTATGTTTGATCGAATCAACCTCCATTTGTTTGCTCAGTTTGGGCATCTCGAGCGCAAAAGGCCAGTAGTGCTTGCTGCAATCGGTGAAGCACTGTCAGAGTGGCGTATGTGTCGAATCTATGTCTCAGATTCCCAAACCTGGGTGTCCATGGCTCAAGCCTCGCCAAAAGCTTATGTAGGAACACGGAACACGTCGTCATTACAATTTGAGCCTGGCTATGCCAAGCCTGTACCGCTTGCCGTGAAGCTCTTCGACTACAATAGCTGGATTGCTGAGAGCATCACATGCACTAGCCCCGTAGCTGTACGAGGACAATTGGCCCCAACAAACAGCATCGATAGAATCTAAAACACGATTATATATATATAAACGATTAAACCTGTTGGCGTCATTGAAGGTGCTGTGCGTGCCTGAGGCGAACTTCCACGAGTCCACGGTTCTCGGCCACGGCTGGGGCCTCCGTATTTGGTTGCCGATGCACCGTGTGAGGCTTTTGGGTTTGTTGACTGTTTCGTACCGAGACTCAGTCAATGCCATTTGGTTCGTGCCGGAAGCGCCACTTCGTTTCTGGGCAATTGTGTGTGGCTGGCTCAATCATTGGTTCAGGTCAAGGAGTTTAAGTTGACATCCCAAAGCGGGGTACATCCATACACGGCCCCTCTGGTTCAGACCGACAATTTCTGCCTTGTTGGCTTGGAATGCAAGATCTGACAGACCACGGCAGATCAGTCCGTTACTTTCAGCTGTGACTGTGATTCTGCTGATTCCAAGCGTTGCCATGGGTCAGCAGTGCTCCTCCTGCAACCAAAAGAAGGCCTGGGCTCCTCTTTCCTAATGAGTTTGGTTGACACCTTTTTCCTCTCAGGAATTGGAAGACGCGCCGGGGGAGAGCGATGTGAAAGCCATTGCAGAGGAGCCGATGGCTTGCAAGCAAATATGCATTCCAGGAGGCATCTCGATTCCACGGTGTTCCTTTTTGCCCCTGACGCCACGGCAGGAAGCACAGGCTTTGGCGGCTGAAATGACTATAGCTGAAGCTGAAGCAAAGAAGAGAAAGGGGAGTAAGGAGCGAAGCTTTTGGGACATTCTCTGCAGCCACAAAATGATGCAGTGACAACAATGTCCGGAAGAAGGAGCCAAAAGAACCAAGAGAAACTCAGTGGGTTCTGCCGCCTGGAGGAAAACTCAATGTCCGAAGCTCAGAGATAGACTGCAATTCAGGGCCAGGGGCAACTTTTTTGATCTTTTTTGATAACAGTTTTGGGGAGGAGAAAGATCGATCCAACAAACGCTTTAATGAACACCATCTATTTGTCTATTTATATATCTAATCTATCTATATATCTATCTACCTACTTTACCTTTGCAGATCGGAGCTGCAATGAATTTTGCAGCTCGAGGATTTGTGCTTCTCCTTATGAGTTTGCACTGAGGTGATGATGTTTGGTATGACAGGTGCCGGCAAGAGCGCACTCGGAAACTTGATAGCTGGTCAAGATATCTTTGATTCTGGTGTCTCGGCCGAAGGGTGGTGTTTGGTGATTCTGAAGCCAGTGGCTTAATGATTGAGCACATTTCTTAACTACATATGGCATCGGTGGTTCCTCAGTCAGAGAGCGAGAGAGGGAGTGTGTTGGAGAAGAAGCGAGCCTTGGCTTGCATCTTCCGGGTTGTGGAAGCCCCGCAGGTGACGATACAGCCAGCGCACCTTGGTTTGGAGAGGGCGGTTGAATTCCAATGCATCATGCGGATCAGCATGCCAAATGGATTTGGCTCCATGTTGTATTGCCCTTGCAAATGACACACGCTAATCAGTATATAAGTATATATCATTTTCATCCTGGCTGCGAGTGTCGACTTGGTTTCAGAGGTGGTAGAGACTCGGTCACCTGGAAAACGATTAGCAAGCGCAAGCTTGTGTTTTGCTGACTTATTCAGGTCACCAACTTGGACTCCATCATGAGGTTGCTTAGCTGGTACTGATTGTAGCTCCGTGTGCACTTGAATGCTAGATTGACAATCCTGAAGGTATGAGGCCGACGATGGGTCTCTGGTGGTCCTGGATACCATCGGCTTAGGCGACACAGAGATCGATCAGAGCAAGGCGAAGGGAACACGCACTCGATTGGCACAAACTACACCTCAAGTGATTACTTTAATAGATGCTAAGAAACACAGCAGCCTTCTGATTTATTTGTGTCCCGGAAAGGCTTGGTAGCTTGGTTTGTCAGCAGGTGGTCGCCAGCATTAGAGATGTGGCATTGTCGGCACCGCAACTTGGCCTGTTCAATTCAACAGACTACTGCCCGGGCCGCTGTGGGCCATAAGCTATAGGCTGGCTGGTGGGACAATGCCTGGTCGTGTTATGAGGAATGGCGTGGATTGCTTGCTGTATGTGATGCGCAATGCTCGCATCACTGACGATGCTATTGTGCCTCAGCGTGCAATTTCGATCACGTCTCGGGGGTTTGGACTGAAGGATGTTTTTGGCTGAAAGTCTGTTCTAGGGAGTGGATGTGGTATGGGAATGAAATCGGACGCCATTTGCACCTTTGCACTAAGTCACGGCTTATTTACGTGACGGAGTACCTGTGGGGTGATGTGACTTGTCATTTATTTAGAATGACTCTCTTGAAGTTTACCTGTTGTGGAGTCTGGAGTTTTCAGCAGTGATTTGGCTCATACACACTTGCCTTCAATGGTCGTGGTGGCGTTGTGATGAGGAGAGCTTGTTGAATTTGTACATTGTCGTGACCTATGCGAGCAAGTATGCGAACAACCGCCTAGAGGCTGAAGCTTTGCTGCAGGTGTGAGGGTTTTGGGGATGGCAGCTCATCGCCATTTTGTGAAGGAGTCAAGTTTCCTTGGCCATTGAGCACGGCGCAGATTTGTAAGGATGATTGGATTCAGAGGCAAGTTGAAATAAACTGGCGCTTCAAACATATCTATTCGATTGTGGGCTCCAACCCTCGCAGGCGTGCATCTCAGGGTGTTTTGTTTTGATTTCTCAGCATGACTTTGCTGAAGGGTCCTTTGCGTGTACAGGTTCATCTTCGTTGACAACCCAGATCTGGAGTCATTGGAGCCTAGGGTGGAAGAGAGGAGGAGACAGAGCCGGGAGTCCCTTTACAAGCTTTTCTGTGCCTTGGCAGAATCGACCCGGGGGAGCACTTTTTAAAAGATCACTCATCACTTTTCAAGCTTTGAGCGTTTGCGAGGGGTATGCTGAGCTGCCGGTGAAACTGAGGGCATCATCCTCGAGAAGCAGTTCCTCCATTCACACAGGCGATGATGAAGCAGGTGCCAGATTTCTAGGGTTTGCGTTTGCTAAATGACCATGTATAGGGGTTAGGGTGTTGGGCAAGAAGAAGCAAAGGCCGCAAAGAGTTCCCTGCACAGCTGCATTGCTGCGTGACAACGGTAGCGGAGACAAATATCAATTTGATTTGAGAAAGAATGGCAGTGCAAAACAACAGATGGCAAACAAAAGTTTCAACAGCAATTGGCAACAACTGAGACGGGGGAGCCATGTGTGTAGTGGACAGGGTTCATCCTGCACAGAACCAGTGCCACAATCGGCGCGCCGTGTGCAGTCTTTGCCTCTGAGGGCAGCGCTCTCTCTTTCTCTGTCTGTCTGTCTGTCTGTCTGTCTGTCTGTCTGTCTGTCTGTCT